ACTGTTGAGCACTCTGTTCTCTCAACAACTCTGATTGTTGAGAGCCTTGTTGGTGAAGCAAGGCTACTTTCTCGCGTTCAGCGTCAAGTTCATTTGAATGAACTTGGCGATAGTAGCATGTTGGGCATCTCGATTGAGAGCCTCTAGCATGACGCTAACAGCATGGATGCCCATGGTCGAACCCATCCGTTCAACCGCATCCCATTTGACATCGCTCAAATGGGAGTAGCCGTCACGCGTAGAGTGAAAGCTTTGGTCATCTTCATCATCTAACATATTCATGTTAGATGTGAACGTGGTCCTTGGACGGACTACGAAGTGCTACCAGGTGTAACGGGGCACCCTGAAGCTTGTACTGATGACAGTACAAGCTACTTATTCTGATGACAGAATAAGGCGGTGCCTCATAACTTCACGTACACTCGTACGTGCAGAGGAAGACGGTAAGAAGAAGCGAGTACTTGGTTAAAGTAAAAAGTAGAACTGTATTTAGTATAGTTAATGTCTGCAATAAATCACTATTTATCCTCATCTAGCTATGTCTGAATACAAATGTGCATATCAACTATCTGCTCACCACTCATTGCGTGCGTCTGTCGTGGTGTGTCTTCGTTGGTTGGTATAATGGCCTATATCAACCAATTAGGAACTACTCGTAAGTGCTACGGACTATTTGCCCTTATGACAATATTCTGAGAATATAACTCTTATAGTTATATTCTATTACCAATTTCTTATAAATTGTAATGTAACGATTCACCCCGTTACAAGTACTCAATTTGCTGCAATACTATTAAAATGGACGGTTTTCGATACGCCCAACAGTAACACTGTTAACGCACAAAAATGCGGCACATCCGCACCCATTGATGAAGGCTTTAGTCAGTTAAGCAGAGCGGAAGGCAGGTCGTGCCGTCAAAAAAAATTGCAAGTAGATGGGAGCTCATGGACGGCACACTTAACCCCCCCGGTGCAAGCAATCCTATCCGATGAGGGCGTCGAATTTGAAAATCCTACCATTGATGCATGGTATCTATTGCATGATACTGAGCATATCAAAGTCGGACCAAAAAGATCGCATTTGAATAAAATTTAGCGTCAGCATCGATCATTTGGTAATATGACAGATACAACGCTACGGCAAGCAGCTGTACCACAAGAATTATTGCCCGATGCGATTGAGTTTGCTTTCGATTCGAAGAACCGAATTTACAACCAAATTGTGGGATGCACACCATTTGAAAAGATATTTGGGGCGAAACCAGATATTCACCACGTGCGTAAATATGATCCTCTCGCCTATGTGCATGTGACAAAGGATCCAGATCGACCACGCAATGCGGACGATACCAATGTTGCATTTTTTCTCGGTCTTCAAAATTCAATGTTACTTATAAGGTTTTTATCCCGGCGGGAACACACGAAAGTGGGCGCCGAATTTTAATATCAACGAATGGATTCGTTCAGGTGAAGTGCCACGATCGTTCACGAGCGCTTGCTTGTTCATCTAGGGACTCCAGGCCCGACTCGGACTCGGACGTGTTGGATGATCTTCTACCAAGTCAAATACGTGAGAATAAATCTTAACAGGCGTCACAGCGTCAATAATGGGCGATGCGCTAACAGAGATAAGCAGCATCCAGAAGGAGAAAGATCCATGCCTATCTTTATGACGCAGGTAACGATAACGATGGTCAATCGGCACAAAAAAAAACTTCAGATCGCCTACAGGCTGACCATGACGGCTCGGATGATGATGCAAATGACAAAGCGTATCACCCCTTGCAGTAAACTATACAGATACATGCATGTCGTTTATAGGAGAGCCTGGTATACATAGTGTGAGCACACTAGGCTATATTAGTCTACTATCTGGGAATGGTGGTGATAGTGCTTTCGATGGACAAACTGTTCCTGTTTCTCTTAACGAAGAACTATCGAGCCGACTACTTTAGGAACAAAAGAAAACGGGGTAAGCCGTATAGAAATTGCTCGGAAGCGTCAAGATCGTGATGAAACACCGTCAGCAGATGAAGGGGCTGCGAAAAAACGACTAGGGCGGACAGTTCTTAGAGACGCTTCGGTGTGACACCAACCGAAATGCTTAAAGGACTACGTCGCGTACGCTACTTGTGCACGCATTCTTTACGAAGCAGTAAATCCAATTAAGGCTTCTGATGTCAAGATGCCGAAGAATAGAAGGTACGCGAGTCGTTGAAGTATTGTGCCGAATAGTATGCAGCTCAACTGCATGAGATGGATGCTTTACGCAAGGAAAAAGGTCTGGAAGAGGCCTCAACATTGGAGGTGCCAACAGACGTAAAACCTATTTGAACAATCTGGGTGTGGTGTGTAAAGTCGGACCAATTTAAACATGTCACACAATTTAAGCCTTGCTTAGTTGCACTCGGCAACTGGCAGCTCTCAGGCATTGACTTCATGGAGACATTTTCACCGGTTGCACGGATGTCGAGTTTTTGACTAGTGCTGACACTATCTGCAAACCTGAGTCTGGAAGTTTACGTTGCGGATGTCAATACCGCATACCTAAATGCTACATTGGAAATACCACAGTATTTGAACAAATTGGAGAATTTCGTGGTGTCACAATGGCAACATCTATATTCTACAGAAGGCGTTATACGGGCTACGCCAGGCTGGCCGCAAGCTGAACACAGAACTAGATCGTTGAAGTACGGACAATGGCTGTGAGCTGTGCTTGTCTGATCCGTGTCATCTTTACAGGACCAGCAAGGACGAAAAAAACATTTGTTCTCGTGTATGTGGACGATATTCTATGCGCTACGAAAAAATTAAAGAGGCAGAAAAGGTTGGTCTTTTCGCGAAGCTCTAAGAAAGCTATGGAATCAAAGATCAAGGATTGCTGTCTAAATATCTGGGCTTCGAAGTCAAGGATATGGCTCCGCGTTCCACAAACTCTGTACGTTTGCCTCTTAGTAAGTAATTTTTGGTGTTCTAGTCCGTGCACCAAGTCCTGGCGCTATCGAAAGCTCTCCACGAAATCTCAAATGCCAAAGCTTACACATTCGACTTAACTGCGATCACAAAAATCTACTTCTAATTTTACATCGCAAATTTAAGATTTTAGAGCCGACTACGGCAATTCTGTGGTGAAGTGCTTCTGAAAGGATGATGAACCCAGGGGCCATCGAGACAAAAGGACAGAGGGTACATTCTGGGAAAGGGCGTCCGGGAGAGAAAATTCACGAAAGTGATCAGCCTTCAGGAAAGAGAAACCCGCTTGGACAATTAAGGAGAACACCTTTGTTCGAGTACCGGTTGAGAAGTACCAAAATAATATGACTAAGAATCTTATAATTGGACCCCATAGCAAGAGTAGACCGCGGTCCTTGAGTGTACATCGCAGTCCCTTACTATGGGACCTAGTAACTCATCGGTAGACCTGAGTCTCTCATTGGTAGACCTGGTCTCTCATCGGAAGACCTTGATCCCTCATAGGTTGACACCGCCCCTCATCCATAGACCATCATCCTTTACGATATGGCTGCTCGTGACCAGTCACGTATTAAGCCAGCGCGTAAGGCAAGGATATGGTGAAGGAGTTTAAGGATAGGATGATATTAAATACCGCTCAATTTGCAATATCCATGTGGCACGGTTTCACCGTGCGTTAAGGAACTTGTTAAGTTTATCAGCCTGATCCGGGGATGAGAGGTACTTAGCCGTCCGTTGGAGACAGTTGCGAGATAAGACCCGAGTGTAGATAGAACCCCACGAAGCATTTTGCCTGCGGGTTCGTCGGGTAGCAACACCCTATCAACACCGCTATCGGAAGCGGGTTCCCTACCACGCGGTTAGGGGGCAAACTTAAGTCGAGGAGGTTAACACCCCTTAGAACACGAGATGAAGACCACAAGCGACAAGCTAACTGAAGAAATTGGCTGTAAGCCCGCTTACGAAATCGATTGATTGGCCACCTACCGGCCCATCAGTGAAGCATATCCACTTGGGGTCCAGGTATACTTCTTTCAAGACAGAAACATCTTCCTCTCCGTCCGAGTCGACCGAAGAGTTCCACCCGCCAGCCGACGGGTGCACAAGGTAATATAAGATCCGTACGCGGAATCAGGTCCCCCTGTAACTCGGCAGTCCGGCGTAGCGTATGTGTTAGGGGATCAATACGCAGTTTGGAGAACTCAATTCACCACAATTTCAGCGTTATGGAATCTCGGTAATCGCTACTATGGTTGATTGATTTTCGAAAGCGCCACTAAAACCCTCAGGTGTGAGAGACCACCCCCTTATGAGCGATTGCCATCGCGCTGATGCATCATGCTTTTATGGACGTGGTTGACTCTGAAGCTTGGTGATTAGGTGAGCGATCGTTCCTGATATGGTGTCAAAAACGACAGTTTTCTAGGAAGAAAGCGCCGACAGAAGAGAGTAAGGATTAGATAAGAAACTTAGCCTAGACCTGTTCTAATATCTTTGTTTTGAGCTTTGCGCTGACAAGTAAGTGAGTTTCACTATTGATTAAATGTACTTGGGATTCATTCCTGACTAAATTAGGCCTACTTCTGGATTACCCATAAAAATGACCCAGCTGAATATAATTGAACCCAGCCGTTTAGCATTTGCCTTAGAAATTGCGCTAAAAAAAGGCTAGTTGGCTTTGTAAATACGCGGTGCGCAGCTATACCGAAAAGGTAATATTGACTATGTTAGCTCTCTTTTTTATCAGAGATGAGGCTACCGGTATAAGCGATACAAGGCTACAGGTAATTAAGAATGTACCGATACCTAAAATAGGTGCACAATACAAGTGGTCTCTTCGTAAACTACTCTATTCGGTACATAATCCAGGCTGCCTTTACTTATCGCTCTATTTGATACCTAATCCAGGCTGAACTCTAACGGGAATGAACAAAACAGCTCCAGTTATTTTTCGTGGAGACAAACACTAGGCTCTGCAAGACCTCCAGCCAAGAAGTACATATCTCTGCATATACAGTGACCCCATGGCGTCCGTAAAACGATTGAATTTGAGCAAGTCACGTGATGACGACGAAAGCTCGTCGGCTTCTTCAATTAGTAACGAACGGGAGCAAGAGGCATTGTCAGAGAGACCGGAGGAGGAGGATTCCAGCTCTGACGAAGGTTCGGACAAGTGAGTGGCCAGTAATAGTGCGGTATATGGCCAAGTTAAAGCACACTGACGTCATGTTTGAATCAATAAAGGGATTTTGAGATTCCACCAGGTTTTGAAAGTGTCAAGGGGGAGCGGAGCGATGACACGAGAGGCGGTGGTGAATACGGACCAAGAGCTCTGGTTCTTCAAGCTACCGAAGAGTGTACGTGGCTCCTTATCACAACTATGGAAATTATTGAGGGAGCGGTGATTTGACTTATGTTACTATTGACTTTTGTTCTGCTGCTACAGCTGGACGCATCAGCGCTTGCCAATGTGACGTTCAAAGTAGGTGAGGAAAATGTGGTAGTGAAGCCTGGAAAATTGCTGGCCAAGGTCACGGCCGGTGAAGACAACAAGAAGTACGTGCTGCAGAGCGAGGACCGCATGCTCACAGATCAGCTCGTGAACGCTCTGCCACTTGCCTCGGATCGTTCTCGCTTTGTGCTGGGCAAACCTTTCTCGCGTTGTTTTTCGCTGGTGGAAGACTGGTTTGAGGCGCCATCTACAGTATCAGAGAAGAAGACGACCGAGGTAGATCCTGGATTGCCTGTCGTGGAGAAGCGCCACAAAAGCACTCATCGGAAAAGAGTGAGACGCACAAGTCCAAGAAGGTGAAGCACAAGAAGTGATTCCGATCGATGATGTCAATAGCGCAAAACCCAACAGACCGTCGAGGTATATTCTCGGTAGCTCAATTTTGATCTCCCCCATGATAATTCTTATAATCAAGAAAGGTTGTCGTCTAAAAGAGCAGAAGCGGTTCTTCTACCACTGTCTCTTGGCGTTTGGAGCTCTCGTGCCTGCTGTCCCTACTCTTCTTGCTCTTCTCGCCGTCGCCGCTTCTTTTACTGGAGCTGGTTTTCTTGTGGGTACTGCTTCTCTTACTGCGGTGATGGTGACGGTTCTCCTCTACTACAGCAGGCTCCTGCTTCTCATCACTGAACCCTTGTATCAGCAGACCCTCGTTCCGTGAGGACCTTCTTGGAGCTAGATCGCTTGGATGATGACTCCTTTTTCTGCTTGCTCTTGTCCTCGCCACGAGCAGAACCTTTGTGCTTTGAACTTTTCTTTTTTAACCTTCTTTGCGGTCTCAGCGAGCTTAGACGACGGTGTCTGACGATGAAACCACTGATCGGTAGGAACCTTCTCGTCTTTACCAAGCGGGGTGCTCAAATCAACTGCAGCTAAATCCGTCTCCTGCAAAACGCCAGATTACGTGAAGGTCAGCGAAGAAGGCCAAAAACAAGAAGACCTAGCATCGCCAATGAAACGCACATCTTCGTTGGCAAAATCGCGCTTCTTTCGACTGCGCCGGCGGTCTTCATCACTAGAGCGTGCACCGTCAGGCATCAGATCGTCCTCGAAGATATCACGAGACTTTGACTTCTGGAATCAGCACAAACAGACGTCAAGGTGTTATCAACGCATGGTCCAGAATACCCCAATGTACTCTATCGAACCTTGGATCCCTTCTTCGTTCTTCCATTCACGCCAACGCTCAAAGCGCCCATCATGTCCGCAAAACCCTTAGTTCAACCAAATATCATGGTGTGAGCTATATGACACAAAAACAGCAAGGATTCACCATAATTCTTACCGCGTTGGCTCCACCATTAGCAGAAGCCTGCGAACCGGCAGATAGGTAGAAAGGATCTTTGCGTTGCCGCTCTTGCTCGCGCGCGCCTTCACGTTTCTTCCTCTCGTTCCCATCTGTGGAACCCTCTGACTCCGATTCCGATTCTGACTCAGAAGAAGAGGAAGGGTCGTGATGACGACGATGACGGCTGTGTTTAAGACCAGGCTTCCGCCTGGAAGATGCATCGTCAATACCACTGTAGCCGCCGCCTACACCAGCGTGACCCTGACTGACGAACGAGATCTCAAGGTCATCTTCGTTCGAAAATGCCGATACATCACCACCCGTTTCAAGAAACTTGGCCTCTGATGTACTTAGAGGTTCGTTGAGATCGAGGCCGTCTGGTACCGGTACTTTTCGCTGAGCCTTAATGCCAACAGGAGCCAATCGCTCAGCAAAAAACGCCTTAAGCACATCCAAGCGCTCGACCGAATCAATCGATGCACTGCCGTCAAATGCGCGTTCGGTACGTTCTTGTGCGGTTAGCGCACCAAGTCCCATGCTCAATGCAAGCAGGAGCTGCTGTAAACAGACCGCGCGTTCTTGCACCTCGATATACTCGCTTTTTACGAAAGATGGCAGGTGCTCCGCAATAATTGTTGCAATACGCTCCACAGTGGCGTCATCTGCGCGTTCAGTCATGGCAGTAAGGATCTTCGGAAGTGACTGGAGCAAAACAGTCTGAACGTGAGCAGGCAACATAGTCATCCGAGGTTGGAGCATTTCATCTACAAGATCTTCCAGTCGCTGGAGCTTCTCCTCTTCGGTCTCGGTCTCGTCGTCTTCCTCTTCGTCCTCATCTTCATCATCATCCACATCTTCCAAAAACTCCGTGATGTATTCACCTGTAATCCAAGCTGCTGCATAGTACACTTCCTGAATAGTGCCCACCCCTGGACCGCTAAGTGCCTCTTTTTCCATCAGTAACTGAATCATATTGTCCACCATGATGCTACGCACGCTCTTTACACGGACCGCAATGTCCACAAGCTGGCGCGCTACCTCCACACCATGCGAGCACTTTTTCCTTTCGTTATCTGTCCCATTTACCTTAGTACAGCTACTGCTGGAGCCAAGCATGCTGTCGGACGATTGAGCTCGCGATGACGACGACAGTGACGCATCAATTGTAGCAGCATTATTTCCTGGTACGCGCGCAAGCTGTACCAGCACATGGATATACCAGTCAAAGTCGTGAATATTCGCGTACTTGTTAACTGAGCAAACATGCAAGATGTGTGTGATGAGCTCATGGCGATAAGCACCATCGGCGCCCAGCGTCTGGCGCATGAGCTCACGAACGATAGGCGCCGCGTTGTCGGGGTTTACCATGGCAGACAACAGTTCCAGCGCACGCATGCGGATCGTCATATCGTCTACAGCAAGGCATTCAACAATAACCTCCTGGTGCTCTGCGACGACGTATGGATGGGACTTCATCAAATTCCCTAAACCAACGAGACCCAGGTAGCGCAGGTTTTGATCCGTGTCTTCAATGTACCGACGCAAGTGGTCATTACAGAGCCGAACAACTGCTGCCACATTACGCGGCTGCGATCCGTCACTCTTTTTCGTGTACATCAGCGCGGTTGCAACCGTACTGATGCACTCGTAGAGCAGCGATTTTGCTGGTGTGTTCTGGATAACAGTCGCCAGTGGATCCAAAAGTTTGCGAGCAAGTCGCGGCTCTTCCGGCACCAAACTCGCCAGCAATTTAACGACTTTGATCAGCATCCAGTTGTTCGACGATGTCGTAAGTAGACGGAAAAACTGTGGTGCGAGTCCTAGATAATTCTTCGGTTTCTTGTTCGCGAGCTCGCAAATCACATTCACGGCACACGAGACAACCGTAACGTCTGGTTCTTCCATCCTCTCCTTGAGTCGATCAAACGACAGTCGCAGCCCTTGCGGGTAGCGCAGAAACATCTTGTAGAGCACCAGCGTAGCTTTCTTCCGAACGTACGGCTTGGGTGAACCCATCATTGCCAGTACATCCCCCAATAAGTCTCTCGCCAAGTCCGTCGTGACAATGTTAGCCAATACATTGATCGCTAGTCCCACGTCGTACTCGTTTGCACTGCCAAACTCCTTCTTGAGTAAATTCGTACATAGCAGCACCACGTCGGTCGACTGCGTAAAGCTCTGACACGCAGCATTGTAGCCGATGCGTTTGTGAGCAAACCTCTCATAACTCATAACCTCCACAACGTGAAACGCCGCCCAGCACATGTCGTAGCCCAACATGTGGAGGTACGTGAGCTTGCGCACGGCCTGGGCCTTGATGAACGGGTCAGTGCTGCGCAGTTCCGTCTTGATCTCCTGCAGCGCCTGCGAGACGTAGTTCGTCACGTCGCCCTTGGTCGAGCGAATGCCCTTGACCAGGTCCTGCAAGTTCTTCTCGAACATGGCGGCTACTAAGTCGGTTGACGCCAAGCGCGAATGTAACAAAAGCGATACAAAAATACACACCCAAACCCACACGCAGAGGGGGGAACACGTAGAAAGCACGCGCACACAGTAGATAGATAGATAGAATACGGAACACGAACCCGGGTTGATGGGAATGACTTGCGCTTTGTATGTGAAACGGGTGGCGACGTGAAATCTTTCAGGTCATGTTATCACTATCTAGACACTGTTATCACTATCTAGGGTGCCAAGCAGACTAGAGAGAGAGTGAGAGTGGGCGAGCATCGTTTTGACTGCAAGGGTATGGCAAGGTAGTCATCTGCATTAGGATCGAAAACGAATTGATGAATGATCCTTAACAAATCGACAAGACGAGACTGGAGCTAGTTCGGGCTTGAGTGTGTGTGCGATTTAAACTTCATAAGTAGCGGTTATAGCTCTCAGCCCATGACCAACTCGAGTAGAATCATGACCGTGTTGATCGCCATCAGAGGAACTGCGTCAAGAAAAGAGCACACATCGATAATCCAAAGTGAGTGCTTACTCGATGATACTACCGATGTAGAAGGCAGTAGGACGACCACGTACAGCGCAAATACTGCACCGCAATGAGAAAGCCCACGATTTGGTTCTTGATCGTCAGACCTTGCGACGAGTCGACCTTGTGCCAGCCATCTGCGCGCAAAACCAATGTGTTACCGCACAATATTTGCCAGCGCCATGGTACCTCTGGATACTATAGAACGTACGCGGACGCAAGAACCGCTTTTCGTGCAGAATACACACGGCATTTGTGAGCAATAGACTCGTCAGCACGAAGTTCCAGAGCACGCCCATGGGTACGAGTGCCCTTCGGAAGGATCAGATAATGCCCAAGTGATTGACGGAGGAGACAGCACAACAAACATCAATCAGCGCGACTTGATTGGTCGAATATCGTACTTTGCAGGCACTTATTGCCTTGATTGACTGACACACCTTTGGTTAGCTGCTCGAGAGGAGAAGGTGATGGCTCGTACCCATGTGTCCAAACGACCGAAGCAACAAGGGCGAGGAGCTCCATCTACACGAGAAAAAGACCGCGAGAGTACGACAAAGGAGATTGGTAGCGAAGAGAAACGTGGAATGCTGCTGCCTCTTCTTGCAAGTTGTGGCGTGGCTCTCGTCGTAATGGCTCTTGGGGTGCTCCTGCGACCGACGCAGCCGCAAGGGCTAATACCGACGCCCGTTCATGATTTGAACTCGGAAGAGCAAGCGAGAGTGGAAGCACGAGAAGAGAGACCGATGGATGCGCGTCCTACGGTCGAATTCCTCGCCAAGTATCCACACGACGCTGCAGCGTTTACTCAAGGCTTTACGGTTGTCAATCGAGGCGATGAGAAGCTCTTTATCGAGTCAACGGGGCTCTATGGAAAGTCGACTCTGCGTCGCGTTGATATTGAGAGTGGGAAGGTGGTGAAGCAGTACGATCTGCCCGAAGAGCTATTTGGAGAAGGCGTGACGCTCGGTCCAAACAACGAGCTGGTCATGCTCACGTGGAAGAGTAAGTCCGGGTTTGTGTTCAACCTGGACGAGACCGCAGACGGAGAAGCAGACGGCTTTGCATTGCGCAGCAAGTTCTCTTTTGATACCACTACTGGTGAAGGCTGGGGTATTACTTTTGACGGTAAGGATCTCGTCGTCTCGGACGGATCGTCGACCGTGATGTTCTGGGACCCTTTGACGAAGAAAGAAGTGAGGCGCATCGAGGTCACAATCTACAATGGCAATCAGCCGATCGCGCATGTCAATGAGCTGGAAATCGCCAAGGGTTTCATCTACGCGAACGTGTGGTACCAGCCGTACATTTTGAAGATCGACCCAGAGACCGGTGCCGTTGTCACTATGTTCGACTTGTCGAAACTTCTCGCAGACGCTGGAGCTGACATATCCGCCGGGGAAGTCCTCAACGGCATCGCGTACGACGACACTGAAGACGTGTTCTACGTCACGGGGAAGCTCTGGAACTCTGTCTACAAGATCCGTCTTGTCGACCCTGTGCAGTGAAGTGTGCCGAAGTACAACGCACACTTCTGCTGCTGTGCGTCATCATCACACGTACACGACTGGGGTACTTCATGCTCACCTAAGACTCAGTGTGCAAGCTGTTCAACATTTTGTTTTGGACCTTAATCACTGCACCTTGCTGCACTCAATCTGTGCTGTTTTGCTAGCCCTCTTGCTGCAGAAATGGGTTGGGAATCTCGGCTGTTCCGTCCATTGGAGAGACGAGCATCACGGATGTGCCTCTGCACACCACCAGTCCAACTTTGCGGGTCTCGTCCGTGATCCGATACTCGTCGTTGGGGTCGCGCACGAACTCGACGCAGTCGTCCAGCACCAGGTTCACTAGCTGGTCATATCCTTTGAGCATCCCTGTGACCTCGCGCCCGCCATGGAACTTGACGCGCACTTCCTGGTCAATGTACTTGGCCAAGTCCAGGATTGGATCCTTGCGGTTACCACCGCCACCGCTGCTGCTGCTGCTGCCGTTCGCTGCCATTATTGCTTTGGATTCTGAAGTGCACTACTGATTGGTTGAAACTTTTTCATCAGAATCAGATAGAATCAGACCATGGACATTGATCGCTCGCTGATCAGCATGAGCAGGAGCTTCGCGGTGGACGAGCGCGTGCTGAAAGCCGTCGCTCTGACCAGTGCACTGTCAGTTGAGGGTACGTCCTGTATCTATTGGGAAGACGTTGATGTGATGGTACTATCTGATTTTCGATATGTGGTGGCACAGACTTTGAGGCTGTGTGCAGCTTAGCAGCGCAGCTATTCCACCCGGACAAGCAGAGCAAGCGGATGGACAAGCGCACGGCATGTGGGTACAAGCGCGATTCGACCACAAGCATACCTGTGACCACATGTGGTGTCGGTTGTGATGGTAGTATTCACGTGGTGGTTGCATTCTGCAGCGAAGGCTGGATGGGATAGCGAGCAGATGGAGCATGCGGTGCTCGCCGTCGCCAAGATATTCATGGACGCTACAAAGGTTGGTAGCGTGTGGGTCCGTCCTGCAGAGTCGCAGTAGTGATGGCACGTGTATTTGTGTGTACGTGCAGGCCAGAATGTCCGAGCATGCGTTCCGCTTGGTCATGAAAGAGATGTCGTTACCGGAGCAGCATGTCGACGTGCTCGTGCAGGTGTGTGCTTGATCTGTATCATCCAACTGTTGAGGCGGGTGTCGTGACGTGACCCGTGGTTGCAACTCTAGTTATTTGATGCACACAAGAGCGACATTCGAGGATGCATTTCCAATGATACGGGCACGAGCGTTCCGCAGTATCGGAACTTGGAGTGGCGCATCGATCTGGAGGTAAGATTAAGGATATGCTTTTGTTCCAAGATCACTGCGTCTGAACTTCGATTGCAATTCAACAGCTCGGTATACGCTTCTGCCGCAACAATCCAAAGCCTGTTGTCACTCTTCGGCTGGATACTGCCACCCAAGCTAGCAGCTCTGCCGAACCGCAGCTTCAGACTACTTGTCTTCGCGTCGACTACGACGGACTCAAACGAATGCAGCATCAGCTGGAGACAGCACTGAAAGAGGTTGAATCTGTGCACTGCAGTCGTGTCCGGCGCTACATATAATGAAAGACGAAAAATATCACATCCAGACATCCTCTCTGATCACTTGTCTCTCGCTCGATGGTCGGCGAAATGCTGCTCTTTCGTCTTGGTGAATGCCGTGATCTGGTCCAGCTGCTGCTGTGATTCGCTCGACTTGTCGCTCTTTTGCAGCAACAACTCTGCAAACTTGGCCTGCTTCTTCTTTCGAGCCTCTAGGTCCGGCTTAATCTTTGCTTCCTAGCCATCGAACAAACAAAGCACAGCCATATTAGTCACCAAGGCGAGAAGCAACGCGTTCTACCAATCTCGGGTTCCGTAGAAACGACGCACCACATCAGATCGGATCTCCTCATCCGATTTCGGATCCCAGTAGATGTAGCATAACGTAATAGCGAGACCAAACCGCAGCGAGTAGTCAAGCATCATCTTTGGCACTTTCATGGTCGATGAGGCTTTGAGTACGAACTTTAGCCGAACCTACTACGTCCAATTTTGACTACCATTCACAAATTGACAAACCAGCGTCATCATGCGGGCTGCTACCACGTTCCATCGCGTGATTCGACGAGCTACTGAGACATCCAGAGGCACTGCTCGGTACTTGAGCGATTCTGCAGCAGCAGCACTACCAGAAGGTCTTGAGGAGATCTACAGCGTCCCATCCACGCTATCTTGGTCACTCAAGGAGCTTCACCAGGAAGGAGCTGTACTAAACGCCGCTGATGTCGTGCTGACGGAGGAGAAGGTGCGGTTTACAGGAGATTTTGAAGGACGCAATTGACAAACAGAGTTTGTATCGTTATTTGCTGCCGTTCAACAGCTGCGGGAGCTGGCAGAGCTGTGCCATCTGCATCTGGACGATGACAAGGTCCCGGGGCTGCTGAAGGACGTAGAAGCTATCATTCAGTGCACCAAGACCATTCAGGCCATGACGATCAGCGACAATATTGATGACGTGTACTCGACGAGCAATTTTGATGCTGGTACGTGCTGTTGGCGTTTGTCCTAACGGTCTTTGGTGTCTGACACGCTGGCCGATGCGCTGGTCTGCATCTGGTGTACTGCTGCTCAGACATTGTGGCTCCCCTTAGGGACGACGTCGTCACAGCAGGAGATTGTGCCGACAAGATCTTAGCAAACGCTGCAGAAAGGTCTGGCTACTACTTCAAGGTTCCCAAAGTAATGCGGGACTAAACCATAAGCGACAGCAGCAATCAGGAAAAAGAGGAGCGCCTTTGTTCAAGGCAAACAGACTTCCAAGGCACATTGACAAGCATTTTTATCGCCATCCTGAACTTTTGGTTCAGCGCATGCATACCAGCAACGGAATCAACCGTCCGCTTTGAAGACGTTAGCCTTAGCCAGACACTCTTCCAAATCTGCACGCAAAACAAGACAGACAGACAGAATCAATTTGTACCGTCACTACAAGCTCCCCACAGCGACACATTACACGCCATAAAGCACGGCACCTACCTTCCACCTTCATGTCGAGTCCGTTGAGCTTGCGGATGCCCAGGACCTGGTTCTGAAGCGTGCCCTTGTGATACATGAAAAGAGTGGGGCAATTCCGCGACGGCCACTTCTCAATGCAAGCTTGGGCCTGGATGCTCACAAACTTCACATCACAGTGCCTCTTGGCCACTTCACGCAGTACGTGGTCCATGACCTTGCACTCTTCGAGCGCATCGTCCCACAAGTAAGCAATGACCCAATGCTCGTGACTGCCGTCCGTCACTTCCTTTGTCCACTCGTCCTTTGCAATCGGTTGCACGTCACCAAACTTGTTGCGTGCCGCCTGATCCTTCATCTCCTGGATACGACGCTCTCGAATACGCGCCAGCACCGCGTCGTCATCGTACTCGTCCTCCATGTCATCCAACTCGTCCAGCGTAGCGTCCTCGCGAGTGTCCCCCCGCTCCTCGTCTTCCTGTTTCTCCTCATCAGGCACCTTCGTCTTGGGTGCAAGGATGCCTTTCTTCACCAGAATGTCCTCCCACTCGGTCGTCTCGCCCGTGGGCGCGTAAAATACGTTGCCACGATCACCCATGATGTGTGTCGACAAACTGGCTCAATGGGATGGATGAATTTGGTAATGAACCAGGTGAACACAAAGTCACCCTGATTTGAAGGCTCAAAACGGCTCGGATTTCGGCCCTGATTTAAACCGCAAGTGGATTCGTATATCCGAGTTCGCTCCCAACCGCGGGAACGGATATCACTGGTCAATTTGATACAGGTTCATTAACATGGAGACCATGAAGGAGATACCGGTGAACGTGAATGGCAAAGGCGCTATGCAGCTAGTGACGGCGCTGCGGTCCATGAAAGACGGTCAGGTACCTGCAGGAGGTGACGTGGTCTTTACGAGTGGAGAGGACGGCGTCTTGTTCGTGACGGATCTGGCGACTGAGAGCTCCGTGTATCAGGTTGAAGTGTGCGATGGGTTCATCCCGTCTTTCGTCGTGACGCCCGAGCAGAACCACGTGCTCATTGCTTCCGATGATGACTGCACTGTGGCTTCATACAGTCTCCCACCTGATTGCCACTTGGACGAGCTGCTGCGTCGCTCGACAGTCTCGATCCGCCAAGTCACATGCTCGCCCCAGTTCATTGCCATTGTTGATGAGGAGCCTGTGGTGCGGGTGCTACTACGTAGCAATTTAGAGCAAGTGATCCTTGCTGAGGGGTCTACTGGAGTTATCAAGAGCGTGGTGCTTGACCCGCAGGAAAAGTATCTCTGTACCAGCAGCGAGGACGCGACTGTGCGTGTTTTTGCACTGGACGTGCCAAGCCAATGTGCCACAGTGGCCAAGATTTTTAAGATAAAGCATGGCAATATCAGACATGACGACGTGCTGCTGCGGTGTTCCTGGCAGCCGGGGGAGGCTGGTAAGTTGCTGGCCGTGCCAATGGACAAAGGTATTGTCGAGCTCTTTGGAAGAGACACATGGGAGGCCAAGATCAAACTGATGCTACCGATTGGCAAAAGCACTGCCGCAGATGTAGATGTACTGGCCTTCTCGCCAAATGGACGGTACTTGGCTGCGGCCACGTGTGCGAAGGAGGTGTTTGTTTGGGAGCTGGAAACGCAGACAGTCTTGCGTTCATTCAAGATTGACTACCAAGCATTGGGTGTCCAATTTGCAAACAAGAGTAATGCACTAGTGGTCTATCACATTGGCGGAAAGCTGGCTTTTGTCAAGGATGTGGTCCCGCCGGGACATACTCCACCCCAGCACATGATCGAACAGTCATTCGCTGCAGGTGCGAGCACGTTAGTAGTAAAGGCTCCGAAACAGGGAGAGAGAAAGCATGAGGCATCAGACCTTGTGAGTGACGAGACTGAGGTGGATGGAAAGCGCGAGGCTGACATTGACGAGGAGATGAGCTTCGACGATGACAACGAAGCACGGGTGGAAGCCATCAAGGCTAGCTTTGGTTTTGGCTCTGCCGCAAAGACCGTGATCGATGAACACGTCGAAGACGACAAGAACTCTCTGACGAGTCGACCTAGCAAAGAGTTGTCGGGTCAGAGCGTTTCTCCTTTGCGGACCATCACAGAACCCTTCCAGCCCGGTAGCGTTATGGACACTAGCGGACGTGGCAGCAGTGCTACCTCATTGCTGGCATGGACCCCAGAAGGCGAGATTGAGGTGATCCGAGGAGCCGGTATGAGTGAACACTTAGTCAAGGTGGACTTTGCGGACAAGTCTCGTCGGGGATTCAAGTTTAACGACAACTACATGTTCTCGTTAGCATTTCTGGATGATTATGGTGCAATCTTTGCCACCCCGAGACGTGCTCGCGAAGATTGGGAAGACTTTGAAGCAGATGCCGACAAAAGTAACATTGTGAGCAGCTTCATTTTCTACCGCCCGTTCGAATCGTGGGCAAGCAACAGCTCGTGGCACAAAGCATTGCCCGAAGGCGAAGATGCTGAATGCGTTGCTGCAGGTCGCGAATTTTGTGCGGTGGCTACCTCGTTGCATACCCTACGAATCTACACATCAAGTGGCCTCGAGTATGCGCTAATGCGACTCGCTGGACGCGTCGTGACAATGACGGCAAAAGAGTCACTTCTGGCCGTAGTGTACCAAGGACTGCATGGACAAATGCTCTACCAGCTCCTTCGTATAACAGTGGGCTCGTTATGCGATCGCGTCAAGCTACTCTCGAAGGGTGAGCTGCCCATGACGCCGCCACCACGGGATGTATTCGCATCGCATAAAGAAAACGACGTGATACGCGAAAGTGTATCAAACTGGGCTCAGCTTACATGGCTCGGCTTCGACGATCGCCAGATTCTTTACGCAGTGGACTCGTTCTCGTGCATCCAGGCGTTGTCTCCCTGCTCAGGATGGAATTGGTTTCCTATTGGCTGTGTAGGCAACACACTGCAAAAAAAGCCTGAAGATCGTCACGGGGTCTTCACACTAGGCGTCGTTAATGACTCGTTGCTTTATTTCCCGCTGGAAAAGAGCGCTCGAGCTCCCAAGCTCCGCGGTAGTCATCGTCCGGTGCCTGGTATGTTCCCGCTACGCACGGCGTCTTTCCCAAAAACGTCAAAGCAGAACGATGACGTCTCGAATGGCCAAGTGTGGCAGAACGTGCGGATTTGCGGACTGGAGTCGATCGCGAGCGAGTCGAACGCGGATAAAAATGTCGCGGATCAAGTTGTTCACGAGCAGGCAGAAATGGACAAGGCGCTCATCTTGATGATGAAGACGGCTTGTACGAATGACGAGCCTGCACGCGTGCTTGATTTGGCAAAGTGCTTGCATCTGGAAAAGTCGCACCAGATCGCACAGAAGCTCGCTATTCACTTTTCGTTGCGCCAGCTGCAGTCGCAACTCTATGAACTGTACCGCGTTAAGTTTGAAGAGCCTCAGCGTCTCAATCAGGCATCGAGGATACCAACTTCTTCTCAGCTTCCTCGGCAGCCCGCCTCGTATCGCTCCAGCCAAGAGGAAGAGGCACCCGAGCCACGAGAAATGGAGCCTCTTCGTCGCGCACGTAGCTTACTGTCCCGACCGCTGTCCACGCCTTCTCGTGACGAATCTCGCGATAACGAAGCTGGTTTTACTGAAGACGTCCAAGAATCGAAGCCCTCAGCATTACCGAAAGCTGCGTCTACGAAGGAGAGTGCGGGTGTGGAACGGTCCATGGCCCCAGCGAATCCGTTCTTGAAAAAGCCTGGCGGTTCTTCAGCATCCCCTTCTGGAGGCAAAGGAGAAAAAAAGACTGGTTTGCAGCGGATGGCGAAGTTCGCATCGCCTCCACCTACCAAGAAGCAGTGTCGGTCGACGTGGAATAAATGAAATCGACACGAATCGAGTTGCGATCGGGTCTAAAGATCATAGATGATCATTTTCCAGCTCAGTGACAGACCGCGGGTTGACTAGAAGAGTAGAAAGCGATTTGTCAGACCTTCGTCTTTTGTACGACACTTTTTAGTTCTATGCAGATTCAATACAAATGAAAGAGCTGAATGTGTACCTTATCGGGTACAGAGGTGTCGTGAGCGCCGAGTACAGCACGATCCTACGTTGATGTACCCCAAATCTCCCAAAGCTCCACAGACTTTACTGTTTTACAATGAAAGCAATAGCGAAATGGAGACGCAGTCAATTCATTATCGATCAGTTGGCCTTCACGATGGCTTTATACATGTGATGACGCAGCCACATAACGCCGTGTGCTTCGTTCTGTTCTTCCAATGTTTCCTGTTGTGATAATGGTGAACGATCGTGCTCTTGTGGGTTTTTAAGTGATTAGCTTCGAAAAGGATCTACAGTCCATGGTAATACCAAATCGCGTCCTACATCTGTACGACGTAGCATTTCTGCCTCATTATGCGTAGTTGTACAGCGGCGGTCGTCATCGATCGAAGGCGTATTCCACAACTGTTACGGGTAAACTTGTTGTGGATAGAAATCACCAACAGGTAAGGTCGATCTGTACTAAACGTCAATTCAGTGTTCGTCCTCGACACACCTGTCATCACCGCAAAGTAAAAGGGCCACACGCTTGCGCTGCTTATGCTCAAGATCTAGTTCATCCTTAGAATTTGCCAAGGGATTACTATTTATCTGCTGAAATTAAACGGGTCCTACCCGACCGCGCCAGTCCATACCACAGACCAACGTGCAACGCATGACAAGACTTTGCACCTGCCTCCTCCCCCGCAACGCAGCTGAAGTTCCTGATCCTTTTTAAGCTTATCACACTTGTCCTCCATCGCAAGCTAGATACTTTGCTTCGCTGCCTCAGCTGTAGCGGAGCTACACAGCTCCTTAAGTCAGAGGAAGACTTAACGCTCTACGAGCAACTTAGTTCTAAAGAACTAACGACTTTACGAGTCAACAAGCTTTACAGCTTCAGATCCCTGTTCCAGGGGACCTAACGATTCAGTGAATCGACAGCACTCAGTGCTCAAGAGTAGCTACCTCAAGGAGGTGTTGCTAACTCTTAGTGATCAGTGATCGACGATCAAGACGGCTCGCAAGCCACGTGTCCTTCCGATCAAAATGGGAACTGATTTTATTTTTGTTAAAGCCTATAGAATATCTCAATCCTACTCAAAGATCTTTCGTACCTAATGGCTGACACTCGTCAGCCCCTACAAACCAACAAGATATTCTATATCACCTTCACAAAGGGGTAACCTCAGGTGTGTAACACCTCTAGTGCAAAGTACCATAATTTCGTGCAACCCCGTTACACCTTCCTCCGCCAGACTGACGTTTGCCAAAACGTCAATCGAACTTGTGTTCTCAGCGAGAACAGTGCGCGTACGGTGAATGTAACGGGGTGAATCGTTACATAACAATTTATAAGAAATTGTTAATAGAATATAACTATAAGAGTTATATTCTCAGAATATTGTCATAAGGACAAATATTCTGTAGCACTTACGAGTAGTTCCTAATTGGTTGATATAGGCCATTATATCAACCAACGAAGACGCGCCACGACAGACGCACGCAATGAGTGGTGAGCAGATAACTGATTTACACATTTGTATTTAGACATAGTTAGATGAAGATAAATAGTGATTTATTGCAGACATTAACTATTATAAATACAGTTCTACTTTTTACTCTAACCAAGTACTCGCTTCTTCTTACCGTCTTCCTCTGCACGTACGAGTGTACGTGAAGCTACGAGGCACCGCCTTATTCTGTCATCAGAATAAGTAGCTTGTACTGTCACCAGTACAAGCTTCAGGGTGCCCCGTTACACCTGGTAGCACTTCGTAGTCCGTCCAAGGACCGCGTTCACATCCAACATGAATATGTTGGATGATGAATATGACCAAAGCTTTCACGCTACGCGTGACGGCTACTCCCATTTGAGCGATGTCGAATGGGATGCGGTTGAACGAATGGGTTCGACCATGGGCATCCATGCTGTTAGCGTCATGCTAGAGGCTCTCAATAGAGATGCCCAACATGCTACTATCGCCAAGTTTATTCAAAATGAACTTGACGCAAAACGCGAGAAAGTAGCCTTGCTTCACCAACAAGGTTCTCAACAAGCAGAGTTGTTGAGAGAACAGGGTGCTCAACAGTTTGAACTGTTGAGACAGCAGCAGGCTGCTGCTGGTGGGTCGATGCACTCGCGTCGACCCGAGACTTTGAAGATTGACATCTCCAAGTATAGGGGGGTCGAAGAAGACTCCCTCTTGTGATGGTTCGTCGAATTGGATGACGCCATAAGGGCGCGTCGCATCGACGATGGGGATATGCAAGCTGCATTTGCCCAGTCAAATCTGGCAGGACGTGCCAAGACTTGGGCACTGGGGCTCAAGTTGCACGACCCATATGCGTTTGGGTCGTTGGAAGTCTTCAAGTCGCGGCTCAGACAAACGTTTGAACCGCCTAGAGCTGAGTTCAGAGCTCGAACCGAACTCTTGAAGCTCAAGCAGGGTAAGCGTGATGTACACGCTTACGCTCAGCATATACGACATCTCACGAGTTGTATAAGTTCCAATCCGGTGGATGAACACACGTTGGTTTCGGTGTTCATGCAGGGTCTTGCGGATGGTCCCGTCAAGACTCACCTGTTCCGGCTTGAACTAGATTCACTAAAACAAGCCATTTCCATTGCGGAGCAGGAAGACTTCAGTCTGAGACAGGCTCGCGCTGGACTTGCTGATTCGCCTACAGCAATCCGGGGCAGCGCCCTTGTCGTCGGCGCAAGCGCCTCCAAGTTCACATGGGAAGGATCCCGGAACGGCTTAAGTAAGACTACGTAGTACACTGGATGTGTGCGCAATTTGCGCGGGTGTTAAGCGTATACGCAAGTCCCTTCTTGGCCGTGACCGTAAACGGTCCAACGAAGCGTGGACGCAACTTTGTCTTAAAGACAGCAGACACTACATTTGTAGGTAGATTTTTAGCATTGAGTAGTACTTGGTCTCCGACCTCATAACGTTCAATACAATTTCTGCCTTTGGCATCAGCTTATTGTTTTTGGTTATCTTGGCTATCAGCCATTGCGTCACTCACATGTCTTAAGTCATTTAATCGCGTTGCGAGAAACTCGCCTACCTGTTTTTGAACGGTAGCAGGGCTGATATCAGCAAGCCGATCGGCAACCTCTCCCCCACCAAGCCCTGATTCACGTAGTGTTAGCGTTAACGGAACGCGAGGGTGAGTGAGACCGCTTATGTAAAACGGAGCAAAGCCTGTTGAGGCATGAACAGCGTTATTCAACGCAAACTCAACAACAGGGAGCATTGAGCTCCAACGCCTAGGCGTATCAGCGCAAATACTGCGCAAAATGTCGTTGATGACGCGTTTAACACGCTCAGTTTGACCGTCGGTCTGCGGATGATCCGCTGTGGACATGTCCAACCGAGCGCCCAGCACCTTAAAGATAGACTTCCAAAACTTCCCAGTGAAGCGGGATTCTCTAACAGAGATAATTGCCACCGGCAAGCCATGTTGAAGAAACACCCGGTCTATGAACAGCTTTTCTGTACCTTCAGCATCAATGCTACCCGGCACAGCCGCTAAGTGAGCCATCTTACTTAATCGGTCAACAAAGAACACAATAATAAAGTTGCCTTCCGAATCTTTCGGTAGGCCAAACACAAAATCCATGCTCAAGGACTCCCAACAACCAGTGGGTACTGGCAAACTAGCCAGCGGCGCCGCCGCATGGGCCGAGGGTTTAACCCGTTGACACGTTTCGCACGTACGCAAATAAGTGCTCACTCACTTTTAAAGTTTGGCCCACCAATAACTTTGGCTCACCGAGCTATAAGTCTTCTCACGACCGAGGTGACCACTTAAAGCAGTATCATGTGCCTCATAGAGGATTCGATACTTTAATTCCTCATTATGAGGTACAGCGATACAAGGGTTATCCTCAATATCCGTGCGATAGCACAAAAGGCCATTATCGATGGAATATCGATGTAGCCTCGCACGTAAACGTGCCGACAACTCGATGTCCGAGCCTTAAAACTCATTGCTTCCAAGAGCACGTAGCTAAGCTACACACTGATCATCCTTGGCATATGCCGCACGGATTAAGTCAGGGACTGACGACGACAGAGTCGTAACATGAGCAAGCTCATAGTCAGGTCGACGCGATAGCGCATCAGCCAAAGCATTTTGCTTACCTGGCTTGTACTTCACCTCGAAGTTATATTCGGCAAAGAAGTAAAGCCAACGAGCCATTCTCTGTGAGAGATGATGCGACTGTGTCACAGTGCGTAATGACGCATGATCTGTATAGATCACAAACGGCTTAGAGCCAAGCAGATGTACTCTGAATTTAACAAGAGCGTACTTCATAGCAAGTAGCTCTTTGTCATGAACAGGATAGTTCTTTTCAGCAGCTTTCAGCTGCCGAGACTCAAATGCGATGACGCGTTCGCGTCCGTCGACATCTGTTTGTAACAGAGCACTGCCTATGGCAAAATCAGATGCGTGACAGACGACACTGAAAGGCCGACCAGAATCGGGCAAAGCCAATATTGGCGCATGAAGGAGACTCTCCTTTACTGCTTCAAAAGCATTATGTTCGGTGTTACCCCCACACCAATCCACATCCTTTTTTAAAAGATTGGACAATGGCAGAACCATATCTGCGTAATTCGCACTGTACTTATGTAAGTAATTGGCAAGGCCAAGCCACTTACGCAAGTCCTTTTGGTTCTTGGGAACCGGCCAGTCGACTATGACTTTCACCTTAGCGGGATCCGCTCGAAGGCCTCGCTTCCCAATGAAGCACCCTAGATAGGGAATCTCTTCTGCACCAAAGATGCACTTCGATGCGTTAGCATACAACTTATTCGTCCGCATACACTCGAGCACAGCTCGTAAATGATCAATGTGGCTATCCACATCTGATCGCCCATTCATTGCACGACTATGGACAAAAATTTCATCAAAGTACGTTTGTGCATAGCCTCGATGAGGTCTGAATAGTTGCGTTACCAGCCGGTTAAACGTAGCCGGGGCGTTAGATAGCCCTTGTGGCATAACAAGCCACTCCCAGAGCATACCGCTCGGAGTACTCACCGCTGTTAGCGGAATATCGCTTGCTCGCATAAGCAGTTGGTAATAACCATCGACTAAGTCGAGTGCACTGTACGATGTACATCCTGCCATATTGTTCTGAAGCACATACTTTCTAGGAATAGGCGCCTGCGCCGGTATAGTGGCTGCATTAAGCTTATTATAAGCATGCACAATACGCCACTTGCCATTTGGCTTTTTGACACAAAAAAATGTCGGTGTTGAATGGGGAGACTTGCTCTCACGAACCATTCCAGCCGCGTGCTTAGCACGAAAGAATTCGTCAATGACGTCACACTGTTCTTTAGGCAAAGGCCACTGCCGTGTTACACAGTATTTAGTTCCAGGAACCAAGTCAATTTCATGACGTACACCTCTATCGGGAGGTAAGGCAGAAGGTGGGTTGTGATACACCACATCTTGATATTCCTTAACTAAAGGATAGAACGGATCCAAAGGATCTTTAAGGATCGAAGATCCACTTCGTGCACTAAGTGCCACCTTTGTATCCTCTAGGACAGACTCATCCATTAACGAGGAAGAGTTCAACTCAGTATCAGGTCTAATGACCACTAATTCGGATAAAATTCCTGCCTTAAGGCCTGGCTAAACTCGCCATCAGACATTTCGTCTAGCTCACAAAGAGCGTCCACAGATGGAAGGGTTTCAAGGCAAACACTACCATCAACATGATCAGTCACTCCATTAACAAGTGTATATAATGTATTACTATTATCACTATGTGACTGTGAAGACGCCTGGCGCTTAAAAGTTGCTAACCGGCGTCTCGATCGTCTCTTCGAGACCTTACACCCCTTAGGGGTCGGGAAAATATTGTCCCCATGGTTACTACTAACCATAGTACGCTCTATACGAGAGCTTATGTCTTGACCGACATCCGGTGAAGTGTTACATAACTCGAACACTTCACCCAGTGGATTTCCACGTGCCACTCCACGTGTATTATGCGGGCCTAGCCCCAAATTTAACGGCGTCTCGCCAATAATGTCATTACTGACATTAGGTGTGGTGCCCTCACGGCCGTCCACACTATACGGCGTATCGCCAACAATATCATTACTGACATTAGGTGTGGTGCCCTCACGGCCGCCCACATGATACGGCGTATCGCCAACAACGCCGTTACCGGCATCAAGCGTGAATCCTCACGGCCGTCCACACTATACGGCGTATCGCCAACAATATCATTACTGACATTAGGTGTGGTGCCCTCACGGCCGCCCACACGATACGGCGTATCGCCAATAACGTCATTACCGGCATCAAGCGTGAATCCTCACGGCCGTCCACACTATAAGGCGTATCGCCAACAATATTATTACTGACATTAGGTGTGGTGCCCTCACGGCCGCCCACACTATACGGCGTATCGCCAACAACGTCATTACCGACGTTAAGCGTGGTGCCTTCACGGCCGCCCACACTATATGGCGAATCGCCAACGACGTCATTACCGACATTCAGTGCGGTGCTCCCACAGCCGACCGCACTCGGTGTAGTTTCACGTGCCACCACACACACACATCAAAGAAACCACATCTTGATCACTCGGCCCTAGGCCATAATGCTTTCAGCATGCAGTGACTCGTCACCACAACGAGTGATACTCAACGGAGATCGTGTCGTATCACCGATATACAACGAGCTACGCTCGTAATCTATGTTTACAACATTTGAGTTAGACTGCTCAGAAATTCCAATGTACAGCACATTGACATCTTCTGTCAAAGGCTTGCGCCAATAGCGCTTCTGTTGCCTAGCGAAGGCGGGTTCATGACTCTTCAAAGCTTCGCTAGGAACATTGCGCGTAGCGCCTTAGGTCTTAGACCTCCAATCAATCCATGGATCATGGCGTTCAAGCCAAGCCATACCTAGGATGAGATCATATCTCGAGTCCAAATCTAGGACAAGACAGCGCTCAATACTGTCAAAGTCTAAAAACTTTATACCTAAGTTCAATGGAACTTTAGGCACAGTTACGCGACTTCCAGTCGCTAAGCGAACCGTGATAGAATCACTTTCATGCGCTGTAAGCGCCTCAGCATAACGCTGACTTCCCTCAAGGGAACGGCGTCGAGCATAATTGCAAGACGCTCCAGAATCGATCAATATCGACCAAGGCTTCTCGGAACCATTAATTTTCGCATCGGCAACCAACAAGCCGGACTAGTATCCACGCACCATACCCGTAGGTTCGGTACTCTTTGGGGTTAAGCCCTTCCTTCCTTTACCTTCTAAAGGTGTAACAGAACCTAGTTCTTCCCCAGTAGGGCGCCCCGCGCCTACTGGGTGTCGGCATTTCCCCGTGCCATACCAGACTTCTGACTCGGGGTCGAGTGTTGGTTTGTAGCCTGGCGTTGCTTACGCAAAGGGCAACCAGGCCGCAAGTGTTTAGTGCTTCCGCACGTAAAGCATCGTCGTACGACGTGTTGCTGCTCAGCAGCTTGAAGCTCAGCTTCAATTCCATCTTCAGCATAGCTGAGATCCATCGGGCCGGCCTATTGTAGGTAGCGGTACCCGAAAAGTTTGCTCTCACAGAGCGAGGGTTGTACCTATTCCAGCCAAGCCTGGCCGACTTGAAGTTATGCCCAGCACTAAGAGCAATTCTCACAGCCTCTTCAAACGTAGAGAGGTGAATCCGAAAAACCTCGGTTCTGGCAATGCCAGTACGTAGACCTTCCATGAAGATAGTCACATGGACTGCTTTAGGCAGAGGGTCAGGCTGCATTGCAGCCATGAGCGTTCGCAGCTCTTGGACATAGTCCATTAATTCATTCTTACCCTGGCGGGTAAAAAGAAAGCGTGAACGCACGTGGTAAGCCTGGTAGGTGGAGAAAACACCTGTACCAATTGTGACTTGAGCGACTCCCATGTGGGAAACGCTATGTCCACCGACGTGCTACACGTCAAGGTCCATTCTCTAGCTCTACCATCGAGCTTCGAGATAGCCAGCGAGACCTGTTGATGGTCAAGCGTGATCAGGCCTGACCTCATGGCCATCTCAATCTCACGGATCCAGAGGATGAGGTTCTCACCCTCCTTACCGGAGTAGTATTTTACTTCCACTCTAAGTGGACGAGGCCTATCCTCTTCGTCTGGTACAGACACGTAGCGTGTAGGTATAGCCGACGCTATTTGGTCTTGGACCTGCCCTACAAGGGTCGCTTCATACTTCATGAAGCTTTCAACACGTGCATTATGCACTTCAGGACCTTGTGAAACAAGGAACTCCACGTAATCGGGACCCTAAGATGCGGTCAGCTTATCAACTGCGACCTTTTGGGCCTCAGATAGGGAAGTGGGGTTTTCCATCCTCACAGAGGATCAGTCTAAATAGACTCAGGCGTAGATTGACTACAAGTGCTACCAAGTGTAGCGGAGCTACACAGCTCCTCGAGTCAGAGGAAGACCTAACGCTCTACGAGCAACTTAGTTCTAAAGTACTAACGACTTTACGAGTCAACAAGCTTTACAGCTTCAGATCCCTGTTCCAGGGGGACCTAACGATTCAATGAATCGATAGCACGTAGTGCTCAAGAGTAACTAGCTACCTCGAGGAGGTGTTGCTAACTCTTAGTGATCAGTGATCGACGATCAAGACGGCTCGCAAGCCACGTGTCCTTCCGATCAAAATGGGAACTGATTTTATTTTTGTTAAAGACTATAGAATATCTTAATTCTACTCAAAGATCTTTCGTACCTAAATGGCTGACACTCGTCAGCCCCTACAAACCAACAAGATATTCTATATCACCTTCACAAAGGGGTAACCTCAGGTGTGTAACACCTCTGGTGCAAAGTACCATAATTTCGTGCAACCCCGTTACATTAGCCGTCCCCGCTCGCGTTGGCGCAGCGTCCTCCATTGAGTCTTACAAAACAATGGGACAGCACATTCGGGGAATGGTAGTAGATTGGCCCTGCACAGCAGACAAAAATAATGCACGCGTAACCGGTATAGCTAGCACCAGTGCCGCTCCCCTCACTTTACACTGGAACCGGTCATCGCCAGAAGTCTGTCCATTCTGAAGCCTTGTTGCAACTTTTAATCCTTTTTCCAAACTATCGGCCAGTAAATCAGCCATCCTGCTGGCACCTAAAGCCATGAACCCCCAAAACACCTAATCTTGAGCGTGGGCGAGCTGTCCGCACAACTTGACAGCGCTCCAGAATGGCAGAACCCAGCCCTCCAAATGCAGAAGCCAACAGCAACTGCTTTGCCATCGACATCTTCTTCTCTTCTAATTCTTGTCAGGGGCGAGCAGCACCACGACCTCTTTCTATCGCCCTGCTCTTTCGTCCAAGGGCTTGAAACTCGACGAGCTCAGCAGCGGTCGAAATTTTACGCCACGTCTTCTTGTCGCCTATGAGCTGCACCAGATACAATTGCCTGACAGCCATCCCGACGCTAGATATAAAGAAAGAGAGACTAGTCACCTGGAACATGTCAAACGTTGTACACGTTATTTTCACTGCCTGCGAACTGACATTCGTGAACATCGACCCATACTTTACGCGAGTATCTGATTAGAATGGCTCTACTCGCTTACACACTTCCTTGCCAGTCGTCAGTCTATCGAGCTGACGAGCAATGTCAGCGTATCATGTGAGAGGATATAAGGAGGTGTCACCATTTCTGGTCACTCCTGGTCCAATGTCGTCGGGTGCGGGTTATTACACTCGTGGTCAAAACAATCCAAACACCCTTAAACTTACAATATCTCGGCTTCTCTTCAATGTTCCTAGCGAAGCTTAGGAGAGTCATGAACCCACCTTTGCTGGGCAATAAAAGCGTGATCGTTTTTAGACGCTGTATCGATATGTTAGCCTACGGACAGACGACACGCGTGGTCGTGGCTACGCGCTAATAATGCCACGATGGAGGGGGGGCTCTCACACAACTGAAAAAAATACAGGGTGGATAAAAAATCACTGAGCAAAGTAGCCATTCAAAATCACGTATTAGTAGAATAATATTCAGATGATACTGGTAGTCATTTACCGCGGCTTTCCAGTGAGATGATGGCGCCCTACAACCAACTCGAACCTGAAGAGGTCACCCACATCAAGGGGCTACATGAGGCAGATCCCACGTACTGTCAGATCAAGGACCGTGTGGGGTTACCAATCTCCACCATCTCAAGCGTCCTCACGGAGAAGACTAAGAAGTCCAAGAAGCCAGTCGGTCTTCCCCCGAAGCTCTTCGATCGCGACACACGCCATCTCATCTGCACCACCTCCGAAGGCCAAGCCAAGTTCAGTAAGATGGAGGCCGACCTCGAGCTAAAGTGCAGCGCTCCCCTTGGTTAACCGTGTTCCGTCTCGCAGCGACTTTCTGCAATACTCCAAGAAAGAGGTAACGTGTAGCGGTGCTACACGGCTCCTCAAGTCAGAGTAAGATGTAGTGCTCAAAGAAAGATGTTAGTTTTAAAGAACTAGACTCTATGAGTTGACAAGCGTAAAGCTTTAGGTTCCTGTTCCAAAGGACCGAGCGATTCAGTAAACCTACAGCATTTAGTTATCAAGAGTAGCTACATCAGGGAGGTGTTGCTGACTCTTAACGATCTATCGATCATAGACGCCTCGCAAGGCACGTGTCTTGGACAAGATTAGAAGAGGAACTAAGACTTATTTACGTTCAACTTTAAGGAATATCTTATTCCTAATATTACCTCATCCAGGCACCCACTTATGTTTAAAATAAACATCTTTAAGATCTTTCCTATTTTGTGGCTCACACCCTCATCCCTATTAACTAATAAGATATCCGATACCTCCTTCAGTGGTATACCATCCCGTGGGTCTAAGCCACAGGGTAACTGAGTACCGTTAGATGCGTTAACCCTATAGACCCTCCCCCACCAGACGGTAGTATACCCTAACTTCAATCGAGCTTTGTTCCTCAACGAGGTCTGTGCGCTTGCGGGTAACCTTACGGCTATTCAAAGCCTTAGTAAACATGTCTTCATCGTCAAAACGAGCCAAAGACGCTTTGTGTATACCTTAAGATGGAGGAAGATGTGGATTATGGTAGCAATTTTGGAGTCCCGGGTGATTCAGGACAATGTCCGCTACACCCATGCCTGAGAAACAATCTTTTGATATATCCATTCCGTTCACCGATTGTGATGATGCGAATGCTTCATTGGCGCCGCGTTTGACACCCGGTTCGGATGATGCAATCATCACCAACCCTCTTGATGAGCAACAACAATTGCTTGTCCAAAGAAGAAAGCGCTCGACGCCACGCACAAATGGTCACAACCCTTGAAACTAGCGTGACTCTGTGTTCACTCCACTCAATGTGGAGGAAAGTATGCGTTAAACGTCTGGCTAGACGTAGGAACCAAAAAATATTAGTCCTGGAGCTACTTCTCCCAAGAAAGGGGAAAGTGGCCAGGCACGACGTGGGAGGTACCTGGAGACATACCTAACGACTCAAAGTCAATACAAGGCTAGCCTAGAGATGCAAGCACGTGGTGCACCGGTTCCACCGATCAAGGGTATACCCATTCTCTTGTTCGCAGGCGAAACAGTGAGCATAGAAGACGATGCCTTTGTTCACTGGGTGCACTATGTGCGTCGCCTCAGCAACATTTTTGCTCAAAGAGCTAGTGCCCATGCGGCAGATGTGCGTCTTGAACGCAAGCTTCGGTATGATTATGCCAAGCTTAAGGCCAGAGGGCAATTGCGCAAGCGCACGCGCTATGTTTCGGCTACTAAGGTGGCCGCAAGTTCTGGTCATGCTGTGACCACCGACCCTCCAACCCACACCACTTGTAGTGGGAAATGGCCCGGTATCAAGATGACCCGGTCCACGACGTTTGGAAACATCCTAAAGGCAAGGGCAATCTTGCCGAAGGGTTATCTCGTACTCCCATAATTGCTTTTTACTCAGAATACCCTCTCCACTCTACCAGATACTGGTATTAGCCATAATCATGAAGCCGTTTTAGTAGTAACTTGACACGAAAATGACGATTCCCATTCTTGTCGAGTAGCGTGGGGGGTGGCCGGTGTATTGGTGCTAACCACACGAAATTGGTTTTCGAAATGAAAGCGTCTCCAAGAGACCTTGTTTAATACCCAGTGCATGCTGGATGCGACGCAAATTCGCCTATAGGCGATGGAGCGTGCTCAAACTTGAAGCAAGAATCAGTTAGACTTCCTGATTAGGATTCAGCAAACGATGGCAAGGTCAATTCCCGCGGCGGAAGCGGCTCCAAGTTCATTTAGAAATACCCCCGAATAGATTAAGTAAGCCTACGTAGGAAAATGGGTGTGTGCGCCATTTGGGTGAAGGATCGAGCGTATACGCAAGTCCCATCTTGGCAGTGATCGTAAACGTTTCAATGAAGCGCTGACGCAACTTCGCATTGAAGACAGCAGACACTAAATTTGTAGGTAGGCACTAGCATTGAGTAATGTTCGTTCTCCGACCATAAAACATTCAATCCAATTTATGCTTTTTAGCATCTGTTGCTTTTGTTGCTCTTGGCTTTCAGCCATTGCGTCACGCACATAACTTGATACATTTAATCGCGTTGCAAGGAACTTGCCTACTTGTTTTTGAACAGTAGCTAGGCTGATACCAACAAGCCGATCAGCAACCTCTCCCCCACTAAGACCTAAACCACATAGCGGTAGCATTTATAAAACTAGAAATTGGGTGAGACTGTTCACTTAAAACAAAGTATCGCATGTAGAGGCATGAACAGCTTTTTTTAACGCAATATCGACGACAAAAATGCATGGACCTCTAACGCTTAGGCGTATCAGCGCAAACACTACGAAAATCGTCATTAATGACGTGATTTATGCGCTCAGTTTGACCATCGGTCTGCGTATGATCCGTTGTGAAATATTCAACCGGGTGCCGAGCACTTTAAAGATAAACTTCAAAAACTTCCGGTGAAGCGGGGATCTTAAAGAAAACTGCCACTGGCGACTATGTTGTCGAAAATTACGGTCAATGAACAGCTGCGCTGTACCTTCGACATCAATAAAGTCCGGAACTGCTGCTCGAAAAATTATCTTGCTTATTCGGTCAACAAAACCAATGCTAGTTTTGCCTTCCGATTCTTTCGTTAGGCCGAACAAAAGTAGCATACACATGGACTCCCAACACCCATTGGGCATAGGCAGGCTATCCAGCGGCGCCACCGCATGTTCTGAGGGTTAAACAGCTGACTCGTTTTACATGCACGCACATAGGTGCTCACCCACTTGTATAGTTTAGACCACCAATAAGACTGGTCCACTGAGCTATAGGTAAGATCACGACCGAGATGACCACTTAAAGCACTATCATGTGCATCTTTGAGCGTCAGCTGCTTCAACTTCTGATTATAAGGTACAGCAAAACAAGAGCTATCCTCAATGTCTGTGCGATTGCACAACCGGCTATTATCGATGGAATGTCGATTGAGCCTCGCACGTAAACGTGCCGACAACTCGATGTCCGATTTTTAAAATCCTCGCTCCCAAAAGCCCGTAGCAAAGCTACACATTGTTCATCCTTGGCATAAGCAGCACGATTTAAGTTGTGACTGACGATGGCATCAGTTTTGACGTGAGCAAGCTCATATTTAGGTCGGCGCGGTATCGCATCAGCCAAAACATTTTCGCTCCTAGCTTATGCTTCACGTCGAAGAAGTATTCGGCAAAAACATAAGCTGACGAGCTATTCTCTGAGAGAGATGCGGCAAATGTGTCGAATTGCGTTATGATGCATGATCTGTATAGATCACAAATGGCTCTGAGCCAAGAGATGTACTCTGCATATGACTAGAGCGCACTTCATTGCTAGTAGCTCTCTGTCATGAACTGGATAGGTCTTTTTAGCAGCTTTGAGCTTTCGAAATTTGAATGCAATGACGCGGTCGCATCCATCGACATCTTTTTGTAACAGGACACTGCGTATAGCAAACTCAGATGCGTCACAAACGACACTGAAAGGCCGATCAGGATCGGGCAAAGTTAGTGTTGTCGCATGTAGGCGACTTTCCTTAACTTCTTCAATGCATCATGTTTGGTATTACCCCAACAATACATATCCTTCGAAGGATGTGTATTGGCATAGCTTGTAAAGTTATCGACAGGAAGTGCCAAGAAGGTTAGGGAGGGCAAACTTGCTTCCAGCAAAATAAAGAGCCTCGTTGACGACGAGTTAATCAGATGGTACCGATAAAGCTTTGTCAACTGACAAATCGACCGACTTAATAGATGGTACTGCAAAAGCCTGGTTACTTGACAAGCCGAACAACTCGATAGATGGTACAGCTGAATTCTTGTCGAGTGACAAGCCAGTAAACCCAAAATCTGGTTCCATTTGAGTCGTATCTGAGTGAAGAGCCGGTGAGCTTCAGCGAAGAGCACCGCACTTCTTATTTTCAGGCTTACCTAGCGCCGTGACCTAAAAAGTTTCAGGTGTCGGCGTTTATCCTTTTGTGTGAGGTCACATGTGTACAGATTCAGAAGCTGCTGAACTCAGGCAGACTTTTAAGCTATTGATTGCAAGGAGTCAGTCAGGCAAAATTTATGACTGAACCCGAAAGGGTGAACCGCGAAGGGACTTTATACTAACGTACAAGTCCATTCTGCCGACCAAATTTTCAGTGGTTCTCGTGTACATGCGTTGATGCTGTATTGGTATAGTTTTGATCACCTACAAATTTACGCCTACCTGTGCTAATGTAGACATTTCGGTGATGTTGCAGAGATTAAGCGGTGCTGTTGCTGACTTTAAAACGCTACAAACATCATGCTGGACTTGTCGAGTTCAAATGGTACTGACAATAGGCATAAAACCCCGGTTGGTATATAATGTTAAATCAGCAATCATGCATGTCATAGCTAAAGAAACGAGTAAACAAAGCATTAGAATGTACAATGGGGACCTTTAACAAGACTATCTTCGTAGGACTTGATTCGTCAGCACTTGGTGTGCAGCCCTCTAGCGGTCATATATGATGCTGTAATACCAATCGCTGAGTTGTAGCGATGTGACACATCATCCTAAACGCATCCTAGTAAAGTAGTATCTGATGGTCTATCTGAACTATAAGGATCTAAACAACCGCTTGATTCGACATAAGTTTTCTCTACGGCACCTAGCTTGCAGACTTTTTTCCTATTCGAATATGTGATGGCGTTAATGTAGCATTGACACGTGAGCATAGCATAAGTTCACTCAGCCACAGTGAATATTTGCGTGACCTGGATCAAAATCGATCCCCGGATTGAGTTTCAGTAATTAAGACGTATTGTGACAGAATGATGGACGAAATATGTCAATTCATCGATGGAAATACAAACAAGACACACGTGTAGCCCACAAAGTGAAAATTTTCACATGTAAATGAAGTGGAGATTTTCACATGTAAATGAAGTCGATTTACTCACACGACACCCACAAGCTCAAAGCGGTTAGTGATGTAAGTCTGCCGCAAACTGCCAAGTCGTTATTCCTAGGCTGCTCGTGATCACAAGCGTGTCTATATCCCGATTCTGTAGTCAACCGTGCAAGTGGCCGACTGCTGGTACATATAAAGCGCTTTGCGATGCGTCAGGGGCTGGTAAATCTCGTCCTTGTGGTTGCGGCTGCTGTCGACCTCCCTACCAATTTCTTTCATTCACTTTTCGACATCCATGTCGGGCGCGATGTACGCATCGACAGGACCAAGTCGCCGAGAGACAATTTCTGGATAATCGTGACAAGATAAGAAGTCTCGAAGACGCACTTCGGCTCTTTATACTGTCTGAGTGTTGCCGCGACAGCAGCAGCAATAGTTCTGGATAGTGTCTAGTGTCACTGCACCTCACGACGTCATGATCTTTCGAGCTGCAGTGAGCACGTCCATTTTCTTGGCATTCTTGCTTCGCTCGAGCTGGTTGAGGGATCACTGCATCAACTGGCACCTATATCGATATCGAAGTTCTTGATCACCCCGGCGTCTAAAAGTTGCCAGTACGAGGTCGAGTAAGGCAGCAGAAAATGGAGATGCACGTTCAACGCCTCGAGCATGACATGGCATGACGCGTTATTGACCAGGGAGAGGACCTTGCTGTCACACGTGCTCAGGTTGAGCACTTTCAATCAACCAGAAAAGCCTGAATGTCATTCACGCCTTTGAATGGCTAAACTCATACACATAGCTGCGTGCTATCAACACCAAGCTAGAAGCAGGAGTTCTGATGCTGAAAGTTCTCGAGCGGCGGCCGATCTGCTTCGTAACGTCCACGCACGTGCACAACACGACCGTAAACAGCGCCATGTGTTTTCAGAGGCCGTGAAGAGTGCAGGCATCGAGCGTCTAGGACAGCTGCATACGAAAGAGCGCCCCCGTCTCGTCCATATGAAAGATGCCAGCTGGCTGCACTTCCGCAGCAACTTTCGCAGGCTTTTGCACTAGTCTTCGATCGTCTTCACATCAACACTACTCGTCTCGCCATGCAGTTGACACATCTTGGTGCCGTGCTGCAGCTCAGTACCGTTTAAGAGACACAAGGTGTGCTCAGAAGGCTCTGCGCAAAGCAGATCGTCACTTTCGCCCAGACCGGCGTGTCACTGATGCTTGCTCTCTCTTGAACCAGTACGAATCTAGCAAACAGGAGGTCTCCTATTGCAGCGTGTCGCCTTACTTGATTGCGCTCTAGGTCAGAGTTGATGCTGTTGTCAGGCTTACCGTTGACTATCTTGCTCACGGTCCAGTACTCATTACGCCGACTCCGCTTGATGTACGTCCAGTCGCTTAGATGCTGCTACTGCGTGAGGTTGGCGATCGCTAGATGGAGTGCGCGGGGTTTTACTTTTCTGCTAGGATGCAAGGCACACTCGTGCTCTCGGAATAGTTTAGCGAGTCAGACAATGGCAAAGTTCCTAGAGATGTTGACCCGGCCCGGTCGATTTGGCCCTTGTACTCTAACGGTACAAACGTGAGCAAGTTTGAAACGACTTCATCGCTGTAAGTGTTGGTTTGGCCAGGTCTTGCGTGTGACTGAACTGCGATTGTGAAACATGTGTGTGCGAAAGCTTTGAGATGTCTATGCAATGTCGGTAAGTTTGTGCCATGTTGACCTGAGAATTACGAGGACATGGGGCATTTTTTATCATGGTAAGTACCTGGGATATTTTGTGATTAAAACGGGGCATTTATGCAACAAATGTCGGATATTAGATGTGTACGGCAGGATCAACCGTTTGAATTATGCTAGGAGAACAGCGACATATATTCGGCATTTGACCAGCTACCGGTCTAGCTACGCGACTTGCTAATGACGACCTTACGGACGACGAAGAACTGGACGTGCTGCCGGGTATTCCCGCCATGTCGGTGCCAGCGACGAAGGACAACCACTAGGTCGAGTGTCGCTTGGACATGATCGATTGCCTATGTGTTTTGACGTACACCGTAAAAACCGTGTATTTAGCGGACACTCCGTCTTGATATCTAAGAAACCTAGACATGCTTTACAACGTCTTGTGTGTGTATCGTCAGCATCATCCGTCTTATCATACTCTTGACGGCTTTTTGTCATGGGCTTCGCTCTTGTTACAAAGTGTAACACGCATCTGGGTCCCACTGATGACAATCTTTGTTGTTGTTCGTTCCTGTAGGTTGACTTCGTCCATCCCAAAGTCAGGCTATCAGCTGTTCGCGACCTCGTACTCGAAGTGTTCGTGGTGAACGCTGTACTCTTCGTGCTTTCGCGTGGACAGGTTTGCATGCTCAGTTCAACGAGTGGTTGAAAGCAAGAATCGAATCTTACCAGGAGACAAAACCCCGCACCTTTTTCGCAAGCGAGTGAATATTTGCAAGAGCAGCAGCACAGAGGAAATAGTGTCAGCCAGTAGAGTCGTTGGACGTCTGATAACAAGAATTCACGACCAATCGCATGCAGTGGTCTAGTGTTAGCCCGGCCCGTAGGCTGCGTGTCAGTCGTCATTTGTATGCAAAGCTGCGTGGCACTGAGGCTAGTTGTGGTGCGACTTATTTGGTGGTGATGATGCTTTCTGTACTTTAATGGAAGCCACTTCGCCGTGCAAACGCATGCAGTCTCGCCTGCGCTTACACTTGTGCACATATCCGCATATCGAAAGGTCGCTGCCAGCTTAACACACAGCTTCTTCATTCTCGCGTCGTGTACCTGAGCGGACTAAATAAGCGAAAAAGCCGACGAATAAGTCTACAACACCCATGGTACTCTATAATCATCACATGACAAGACACGGGGAACCAACTAAGCTTTTCGTGTAGTACCATTGGCCTTTTCCGACCCATTACATACCTACAGCCGCTCCATGGCGTGATGCATCTGACACATGCCTTGGGTGCATTCTAACAGACTTCTCTACAGGTCCGATCTTTGAGTTGCAGGCAACTGCCACGAAGCAGCGGGTGCCTCTGATTCCGTTCAAGTCTCACGGGATGCTGTCGCGACCGTGGTGCAAACCAGTAACGGACGGGATGTTTCCCGCATGTCTTTACGCTCGCACCTATCTCTCTGTGATTCTTCCCATGCTTGACTGACGAACGCAGCTCAGCTTATCTATGCTAATGATGAGAGGACGACTGAGTTTTGATCCCGCTTGTCAGTTGCCATAAGTTTAGCACAATCTGCTGCTGCACGTACATATCAAGCAAAGTGCGAGTGCCGCGAGGTTCCGCAAAGCTTAGTTTGACAGTATCTTCTGAATTCGTGGCCAAGGTTTCGCTCGAAACGCCTCGTACTGACAAGATAATGTGCGAATCGCCAGGTGATTTTGAGCCACGCAATTTGACGGAATCAGCAGACGAAGTCAGCGCTCGTGGCTGGCTGCCAGACTCACCAACCTCGGGTCGTACTAGCGTTACGAGCCACGAATAAATAGTCAGAACGCAGGGGTGGTTGCGGAAGCAAGCGAGCAACCACGCACAGCCGCTTTCTTCGTTCCAGCTATCTGCTTCGTGAATCTCACCATCGTTGATAATCGTCTAGATTGGAGAAAACGCGATGGGTTTCGCTTTTCGGTCTGTAATGTTCCCACCCCACAGTCGCCAAAGTCCACCATCATCATCGCCGTCAGCTCTTGATCAGTTCGCAACCTACCGAGTCCTGCGAAAGAGTATCAATTACCTGCAACGTAGCGAGCAATAATGCAGACCGTCTCTCTACCATCCGAGACCGCGTCGAGTTCGACGTGGTACGACCCAACCGATGTCCAGCTCCGTAAGTTCATGATGGTGCGTTTGCAGAGCCATCCAGCATTGGCGCAGCACCATCCGATCTTGCAAAGTACTAGGGACCCTTCTTCTGGCACCAGTTTATCGCTCCTGCAACGACTCGAGTGGATGCTTTACTACAGTGCAGGGTCCTTAAACGAGTACCTGCACCAGCCGTCACTCGAGCGACGTGTACAGGGTCTCGTGACGCACTATAAGCGCAAACGACCCGAGACCGAGTCGAGTGAGGACGTTGTAGAGTCTGTCCGAGCACCTACAGCCAAGCGACCGAGACCCCGATTAACTATCACTGAAGAAGTCATCTGCAACAATAGCATACAGGCGAGTGAGTGTGTTCTCACCAGTAATGTGGACCTCTTGCGCAACGTGTGCAGCTATTTAGAGGGGATGGACGTGCTGCGATGCAGATTTGTGAGCAAGTTCCTGTACGTGCAAACGCCGTCGTTAGTGCGGACACTACACATCGACGCGGCGATCATGTCAGTTGCAGCGACGCAAACTTGCAGGGACGGGGCGGTGAACGGGCTGAGCACTTTGTTGCATCAGTGCCAAAATCTCACGAGCCTGACGATTTCGAACCAGGTGAACAAGACACATGTCAAGGCAAACGTCGTGTTCCCAAGAGCACTCACCACTTCGACGTATGCATCGTACGGCTACCAATTGGTGTGTGGAGCCGCCGAGGCATTTAGCAACGGAGCGTGCCCTTTGCTGCAGGAACTGAAGCTCGTCGCTCCATTTGACTTTGCTACCGAAAGCGACGCAGTGATAACCGTGCTGCGAGCGCTGACTGATTCCAAACGAGCGCGCGGAGTGATGAGGACTCCACTGAAGCACCTGGCACTGGATGCGACTTTTCTAGGTGATCGAGGCGTACAGCAGCTCGCTGATCTGTTTGAGACTCAGAGTGTGTTCTTCGTCCACCTCGAGACTCTGACAGTGCGCAACAACTTCATCGGCGAAACAGGTTGCCGCGATCTGCTTGAGGCCATCGAGCTGTTCAGCGACCTTTGTACGCTGGACCTCAGCCGCAACATCCTCACGGACACGGACGCACTCACACTTGCAGATTTGCTCGACAATTTTGTGATAGACTTGAGCTGTTACGATTGCATGGAGAGCGACCAGAAGATGACATCGCAAGACGGGCAGTTGAGCGTACTGGGACTCGCAGGTCTGCGTACTTTGAAACTGCAAGAAAACTTCATCACATGCGACGGCTTTCACGCCATCGCAATTGCATTGGGTGCTCGAGAAGGGTTTCCAGTCCCGACTGGTAGCATCGCTGCTCATTACGATGACGTAAATAGCGACGCAGAAGCAAGGAACGCAGACCGCTAGGACTAAATAAGTGGTGCATATGCTGGAAGTAATGCAGCTTTAGTAAAGTAAGACGAAATTGTCGACTATATTCGAGTACTTGGCCCTAAGTCAAAACTACCTGTTGACTGCACTTGGTTTGCGCCAAAGCTGTACAGATTAGTGGTTGCAGGTCATGAAGGAGATGTAAAAGGATAGGCACTCGGTCAAGGGGTTGCACGTGATCTTGACCAATTTAGACGGTGCTATTACTTTCATCCCGCACTGTGGGGCACTATCGATGACAGGTCTCGGAAATTACCAGCAATGAACGTTCGCCGAGCGCGGCTCTTCCATCTAGCTCTCACTTTCAGTTCTCTTCTCTCATGCGGTCTTTTTCGTGCTTGGAAATGCAGTCAACGAGCGTTAAAAAAGTTTGGATCTCGTCGTCTTGACTTCAAATAAGATTCACGTCAATGTGACGGCCACAAATGTTAGAAGGCACTTTGATCCGATCGGCATTTTGGCCTCTATTGAGTGCGCCGGAGTCATTAGGCAACGCCAGGATCTGGAAGGTGATCACGACGCAAGCCTTCACGATTTATATGATTCTGCTACGCCAAGCATGACAGCCCCGGCTTACCCATTTATAGTGTTGCTGCAAACGGATGAATGGCAACATGCAGCAGCCGAGCAACGTCATCCGTGAGTCGAAAATCACATCAACGGGCAACTGAGTATCGAATGTGCTATCGCACAGGTCACTAAGCAGCTGGACCTAGATCATACCGACCGCTCGTTTACAGCGAGTGCAGACAGAGAACAGCTGAATGGTAGAAGTACACATAGACCGCAGCACATTTTCTGGGAATGTTCAGATGTAAACTAACCTACGTGCGGGTGTCGATCACAACGGAACTGGGCTTGCGTAAATGCTCGCTGCCATTGTCCCACCGATACCCAGCAACTCTCTTACGCTTGCAAAATCGCTATCAAGATGAATGCAATGCTGCAAGGACCGATCAAAAGCTTACGATTCGTACAAAGCTCCGTATGTAGAGGGCAACCCTGTATTGAGTGGAACGAGACAGTGTTCTTATGGGATCTATCTACCAAGCATAATTCATTCCTAAAAACTATAGAGTTGGCCAATTTTTTTAGCTTTAGACCACCGCAATGCATGAACATCAAATTGCAGGGACTGCAGCAAATATAGAGCCTGGATCCCCACATGTCTAGAATGAATAACTCAATATCCAACAGTACACCCGCTTACACAGGAGTTACCCACAAGAAGTTGCCATGCCGGCGCTACCACACACATCTTGGCTCATAAGCTTTTCAACACCTTGCACATATTAACTCGTAATTCGACGATCGTGATAGCTCCCGCACTACGTACAGTAGCAGGGCCTCCATTTTTTATTATTCTTCGGGATAATAATCTCCCTTACTTATTAAAAATCTCCCCTGATTTTATTATGTAAGCCAAAGAAATTCTCCGCCATTCCAATATTCAACTACCGCCAGGGGACCACTGCAAAAAAATTATCCAGAGTTTATTGCTCAAGGAATTCTTGCTGAAAGTTTTCCACCTGACCCTGCATCTTTTGACTTATCCCTGAGAACTCCTCTCCAGTCTCCTGCTGCAACCATAAAGTCTTGAGCGCTGCCGGCATCGATGCAGCATTCCGAAGAGAGACGGGCGGTGCGGCCACGCTATCGTCCTCCTTCCAACACGTGTAGCAAGCACCCTTCGCTTTGACCCAAATCCTTCCTAACTTTGCTATTTAATAATTGCTTTATTTAATAAATATTTTGTGGTCCCAGCCAAATTAAATAAGGGAGTATCTGCTGTAGCAGGTGCTAAATCCACGGAGAAACAGACGGTTAGTGTCGACCACATTCAGAACAAGCCTTCCAAAAGTGATGCATCGTCTGACGGCCGAAATTTCGCGCAAAGCTCCAGCCAGCTAAACGAAAAAAAACAGATAAATTCGTAGAACGATCCAGCAGGCGCCAGAGGGTCCCATCCTAACTGATAGATAGATACATAATTGCAGGGCCCTCAGCAATCGGTAGGTGACCTTAGGCACTCCAGCAAGCGCTGCTAGTCTATGTGAGGGATAACGGCTTCGATAAGATGGGTACAAGGACTGGAGTACCAGAGCCACTGTTTGACATCAGCATGTGACAGGTGGACATTGTAACGGCTGGTTGCGTGTGATTACCTCACAACGGAGCTGAAGCCAAGAGTAATCTGCTCTAGTGCAAACGATGGCGAGTCAAACAATCTTCCCAGATCGTCAACGTGGCTACTCCTGTATCTGTTTTTTCTGTCCTTAAATAGTTGTGCGGGCGAAGTAACGACCATCAGTTACGGATACGGACATCGTTGCGCGAAGTGACGGCGAAACGTTTCGATCACGGACCGTTTCTTGCTCTAGTTCTGTGAACGATCTACACGTGATCGTCTGGCAACCCCACCACAGCCGACTATTCGTCGTACCAAAAAGCCTCTACGATATGAATTGTCAGAGTCCGATAAATACTTGGCGAAGCGGAAAATCGTCAGCACACAGCCATATTGTGCTAAGCTGCGTTACCTACCGATATACCCGGTGATGCTCACTCCATGTCAGTCTCTTGCTTGACCATCGACGTTATTATTGTCATGCCTTAGTGATAAGCTGCTTTAGGATTGCCACACCTGACAAGGATTTTTAAATTTGTACGAAGTGAAGCAAGCCTCATCATCACCCGAACTGCCCATTTGTCGCCCATGTAGACCCAAATACATGAATAGGCTGGAACAACATTACCCTGCCGTACGATAGAGTCTCTCAGGTAGGTAGAAACAGCACCTACGCTTTTCATGGTCTCTTCCAAGAAAAAAACCCCTGTCAAAGCTTGTAATCTGAAATACTCAAAGACAGAGTAGAATACTTCCGGTGCATCGCAATCGAGGAATCTGTTCTCGTTATGAAACTGTCTGGTTACACCATGCTGTGGTCAGTCTTCCTCTGTGTGCTAGATCGTCACCGCTGCATGGAAAGATAGTCTCAACCCGCCGACCTCATCCAGCATCAGTCCACGCTGAACGAAAATGTGCTTTTAAACTTGAATAGCTCGTTTGGTTTCAACTACCACATTTTCGTTCTTTTAAACTTAAAATAGCTCGTTTGGTCACAACTACCAAATTTTCGGTCTAATTTTTGTAATTTCGCAGCTTTGCTTGATCATAATGGACTTGTCGCTCGTACAGGCCCCTCATTATGCGGCGCATCTCCATAATCGAACCTTGCGTCGTTGTTGAAAAGCTAAATGCTGGGACTCGCAAAATCCTAGAGTACTATGCAGCGTAAACGCAATAATGAGCGCTACTAAATTATGTACGGTGCATGCCTAGTCGACTGATTACAATATGTGAGAGTGACTGAATCATTTACTATAACACTCTCTGTGTCGTCGCGAGGGATGCGGTGACCCAAAATAAAGAAGCGTGAGACTCTTAGAAGTTTTTCATACAAAATGAAAGCGAGCTTTGTGGCAAATTATGGAAGAACAAGGGCGCGGTCCAAAATTCTCCGCAGTGTTATTACAGTAAAGTCCACTTCCTATTTTGCGACAAGGTACGCCGGAGAATCAACTTGGCACGTGGAAGGATGTCTAGATCGATGTGTACTGTCAACGACGGTGAGCCGCAGGGCAATATTCCGCGACTTATCTGACAGTACAGGTACACACGTGCGATTGACACACGTGCCTAGTCCTGACACGCCAGCTGGTCGGGTGTCGTTCGAGGCCGCGATCAGTGACTTCGGGCACCGTTACGACCCCAGTGAAAGTGTTAACCCTGACGTACCTAACGGACCCGGCGTACCTAGTGGACTCGGTGACAGGAACGGCCCCGGCGTTTCCATCGGAATCAGCGATAGGAAAGGCTCCATGCAATCAGAATCGGACTCAGGGACAGGAACGACCGAAGCGTTGCTACAATCTCGACGACAGAAAAGAACCCTGCGGTCCTGCAAGACTCAGCTACAGAAACGCTTCTGATGTTTCTTCTGGTATCAGAGGGTAAAAAGACTCCGCCGTTTCGACCGGTCCTAGCAACACCAATGATGCCAGCAATAGCAACGGCCCTGGTGGTGGTGATGGTCCGGGCAACTGTGGTAACTCCTACGACCGCAATGCCTCTGCAGCTACGGGGGTAGCGATAATCCCAGATTGCGGTGGTCTGCTGGTTTGGAGTTCCACCAGGTAGGGAAATGTAAAGAAAAACGATGACGTACGCTCAATGAATGAGCTAGAGGAGAGAGTTTTGGCGGTCTGGATTATGGAAGTCCCGTTTTACTGTCCCCTCCCCGTTTCCTGGTGTGACACATCCGCAAGCGACACGGGTGGAAATGCTTGATTTTATTAATCCCACCTAGAGGGCCGGTTGTAGCGTACGTGCCTCCTAACGTGCACATGCCTCAACAGAATGCTGAAAGACCCTGAACCTTCAACTTTTGGAGCGCCGGGAGGGGAACACAGGATTCGACGCTCTGAGTTGGGAATTCGTCAAGGGTACCAAGCGGATCAGTTTCGACGCTGACACGCGGCGGCTAATGTCTTGCATGCCAGATCAAGCAGCGGCCGCGAACTGACACGACAGTCGGTATCGTTTTGCGGAAGCATCTCTTGTTTCTGTGTTCTGCGACCATGGAGAGGGGGGACGGCACTTCTTGCGCGTCCACAGCTATGCCAGCTGATTGTTAATTATTACGCTATAGAGTACGTGAACTCTTTAAAGAGGTGGCAGTTAGCACTGTTTAAGTCATTCTAGCGTCAAGTATGTCGTGCGCGGTCACATCGGTGACGCGTGGGTGCTGTCACAGAACAGCGGCTTATGACTCCTACTTTTCGTAGCCAAGTCGACTCGGCATTCTGTCCTAAACAATAAGACAGGGTACACACATTTCACATACTGACACAGTGCTGTTCCTTCACCACTTTCGTCGCTTTCAACAAGTCCCCTGCTTTTTCTGCTACTTGCA